ACCTTTGCCGCAGCGGCTATCGAGGGATTATCGCCCAGAGCAGCCAAAACCAGGGCCAGGTTGTCTGTGGGAGTGGGTGAGGTTAATCCCAGCTGAGGAGCTGGATTTTTGCCTTTTATATTTAGGCTGAGGGATGCCAATATCGAAGATGCTCTACCACGTCTTTAGCTGTGCCAGTAGCACAGCTCTGCTTACCTGTTGCTCGTGCTCTTCCTGATGCCCATAAACTCTCCTCACCCCAGGTAAAGGCTTTTCCATCACCTCTGCAAACTCCCCTTTGCTTTGCAATGAGTCTTCGCAGTAGAAATTACTTGCGGTTTGACTGCCCTGTTGCTGTGGAAAATGCCCGGGCTGAGATGAGCGGGCCAGGGTGCGCGTGCAGACCCAACGGCTGGGCTCGTGCCCGGGCTGCTGGATTTTCATGTTTATTTTCAAAAGACCACTTCAGAGGGGCTGGGGGACAAATTCCCTAATGCAGCACCAATGCTTTGTCTCGCCCTTTTTAACTGAGCCTCAAAACCAGTCCAATTTGCCCACAACCCTTTAATTTAAAAATCAGCATAGGGTGCGGGTAGCCGAGGAAGCTGCAGCTGGCGTAGCCGGAGCCCTCAGCAGCCCCGGGGAGAGACGCGAGGTGCAAATCCATCCCAAAAGCTGCTGCAGGAGGGACTCGATGCCGTACCCCTATCGCAATGCGGGCACAAACCCAGCCGGAGACTTTCTGCTGGTGTTTAACTCTTCTTCCCCCTTGCAAAGAGAGACAGTCCCTGGCTGGGATTACTCCCCGACAAGAAAAGTTCAGCAGCTCTTTGTTTCGCCGCTGCAAGCTTTTGCAACAGAAGGCAATTACAGCTAACGGCTCTAAGGCTTTACCTCCCCAACTTGATTTGCCTTGTCACGTCCCATTAACTTCGAATTCAGCACTAATCCCTGCCCTGAAATATATAATGAAAGACATTCAAAATATATCAAAATGGCATTGGTATTGATTTATTAATGCTAGGGAATGCTGCCCTAATTGAATTTAGGTCCAGGAAGTAAGTTAATGCAGCTGACAGTGATACAGGAATCCAATCTCCCCAGCGCACAGAGTTAGGACTTTTTTTTCTCTCTTTGTTGTCAGTTGGATAAATAACAAATCAATTTAAATTTCAACAAGGTTGCTAAAAACAAGGCAGCACCTGCCTGGGCCAATCAGTCGGCCGGGGTTTCGGCTGCCGGTGAAGGTCAGGGAGGCTCAGCAGGGGATGGAGGACGTCCTCGGGTCTTGCTGGGGGTTTCTTGGTGCCGACCCCTCCCTGGAGACTGGGGACCGTGTTTCTTGCTGGGGTCCAGATTGGTGACTTTGTGGATAAAAGCTGTTGTAGGTAACAGTTGTTTTCCCATTTTCCCTCCTCCAGAGGACTCGGAGGCTTTTCCTCCTCCAAATGCCACCTGGACTTGGACCTGCAGATGCTGCCCATGGGGGCAGCAGTTGTGGGGCTGTGCTGGGGCAGCGCGGGTCCCTTCCCTGGGCTCCGGGGTTGTCTCTCTACCTGGCTTGCCCAGAAACTCTCATCTTCCCTTTTTTTTGGGGTGCAATCAGAGGTCTCTGCAAAGCAGCAGGAGCTGCCGTTCAGTGCTGCCTCTGGGAGATGCCGCCAGCATCCCTGTGGTCGTGCCTTGACTTTTAGCCGTTGAACACGTTCGTTAACACTCGGTTCAAGTTCAGGCTAAACAAGTCACAAATGCTTGTTGCTAATGGGTTTTGGGACTAAGCAACCAATATTGCTACCCTGGAACTGCAGAGCCCAGCCGTTCAGTCATCTTTTTTAAGTTCTCAGGGCTTTTTTTTAAGCCCTGAGAAATACTCATGGCTTGTGTTTGAAATCCAGCCCTGCTGGGGTTGGTATGGTCAAGAAGGCAGAGGAGCCTGAGTTAATTAAATCAACAGCTAACAGTGGAGGTTACCCACAAAAGTGAACCTTGGTGCCCCTAAAACCACTGACCAGAGAATGGCTGGAAAAAAACAAAACCACAGTTGGAGTGAAATGGAAAAAGAAATCTTCAGCTCTATATCACTTCAGCTAGCCACAGGTATCAGAATATTAATTGCTCTTTGACTTGATTTTGTTGTGGGATTAAGGGCACATTGTGGCTTATTAAGATATTCTAGGAGCCACAAGGATGGATGCAAAATCCATCCGTTAAGCATTTCTTTGCCTGCTGAAATCCAGAATGCTACTGCAGTAGCTCCAGCCTCCCGCTGCAGCCGCTTTCCCGGCACGGCCTGGGGCACCGAGCAGCCGCTTCGGCTCTCCCGAACCGCGTGTTCCCCTCCGACACCTCGAAGCTCTTTGTCCCTGGGGGGGGCAGATCGGGTACCGAGTGTAATTCTCCCTAAAGTTTCGGATGCAGTATTGATTTGCTGGCTTTGCCCACAGTGAAAACTCATCGGTGGAGGCTGGTGCTGGGTCCTGCCTCCTCCCTCTATTCCCAAACGCGCAAATTGCTGATGGACGGACCAGCGTGGAAATCTGCAGGGAGGTACCTGTGGCCGGGAGGGTAGCAGAGGCTATAAAACACATGGGACCATTTGAGACCGGGGTGAGCTAGCTACACAACAGGTTTTCCTTTCTCCTGCAGCAGGCTGTCCCCCCCTCCAGTGCTAGCTGGTGCTGGAGGACTCATCCCTTCTCCCTGGGCATCCTCATTCCTTCTCCCGGGCCTCCCCGTGATGCTCTGCTCTGCGCCGGCCGCACTGCGCAGCGGCACTGATGGATGTAAAAAAAGATCACAGCCCGAGCATCGCTCGGGCCAGCGTGCAGCCGGCAGCGGGGAGGTTTCCTGAGGACAGAGGCAGCACGGAGCTGCTGAGCTGCTAACCGAGCTGCCTCCGGCCCCGTGTTTGCCGAGCCGGGAGCCAGCGGAGCGAAACGGGCACCTCGGGGCCATGTGTCGCTCCCTGCCCAGCGGCTGGGTGCCGGGGGCCGTCGCTCTGTGCCTTTTTCAAACTCATAAATCCAAGAGATCAGAGCAGGGGGATCCAGTCCAGCCCATAAGTCACGGGACGTCAAATAAAACCGCGGACGTTAAAACTTTACTGCAGTGAATAGTTTTAATTTCCTGGGTATAACAGCTCGGTTGACGCTAATGGCAGATGAAAGCGGAGATTTCCCGGTCGGTCCAGCCCCAGCCTGGACGGACACAGCCAGGAGCGCGGGCTGTTAACAATGCGGCTCTTTATCCCCTGAAACTCGGATCCATTAACCCCGGAGATGTTAATTACAACAGAAATTACCTATGAAAGACCTTGCTCAGGAGCCTGAGCATTTGCAGCCAGTAATAACTTTATTTTTTCCATAATGCTGGTGCCATTTGTTTGGTGGGGTTTGGGGTTGTTTTCATTTTTGGTTAAGGGTGTTTTGTTTTGTGGGGTTTTTTGTTGGTTTTGTTTTTAATGTGTTTTACTAATGTAATAATTAACATCTTCTGCCTGGCCCTGACTGTGGCCCAGAGGCTTCGTGCCCGCCGTGGGGGTTCGCTACGGTAGCCTTTGTACCCTGCAGCGGCCTCAGAGGAGGATGATAAATGGGTATTTGGAGGATAGAGTAAAGAAAAGACATTGGGTGTTTTGGGGTTTGCAACTGCTGGGAGCTGCCATCGAAGCGCCAAGGGGGTTTGTGCCGCCAGCTACACCGTGGGTGGCCCATGGGGATGCTCTGCACGGCTCCGTGTGCAGCCGGAGCAGAGCAGGTTTGGGCTGGGCTGGGGTCGGCGTGCGGCGCCTGGGGAGAGCTCGGTGTCTCCGGGAAGCTTTTAGGGTCAAGCACCTGCCCTGAGACCCGTCCCCGATCCATATTGGGCCCTTTGTGCCGTGAAGGACTTGCCCTTTGCAGGGGTTCCACAACCGTTTAACAGCCGGGATGAGAGGGAGCTGCTCGCGTCCCGACTCTCACCCAGCCACTTCTTCTCTCGTTGGGATTTTATTGCTTCTTTTCATCTCAAAAGCCCACGGGCCCCGGGGAGGGCGTGCAACCTGGGCTGTCTGCCGGCACGGCACTCTCAGCCGCTCTCGGCTCTGCTGATGGTGCGGTACCGCTGGAGCTTGTGACTGGGCGATGGCAATTGCGTGGGGACACCTGATCCAGCACCCTTTGGAAGAGATGGAAAATATCCAGCTGACGTCAGGGTTTGGGTCAAGCCCTCATTCCCAGCCTGTTCCCTGCTTTCATTTTTTCTCTTGGTTGGGGGGGCTTCTCCCAGACACGGGGGATGCTCAGAGGTGACTTGCTCTCCTGGAAGATGGACCAGACGGCGGGTCGAGGCACTTGCCGAGCCCATTCCCCCCACAAGCAGAGAGGATGCTGCTTATGGAAGTGGGAGAAGAGCCGAGACACTAAAGAAGAAGTAGGATGTCGGCAAACCACCTCGTCTGGCTTTGTCTCAAAGCGCAACCCCGAGAGGCGGCTGTGCGGTGGGCGACGGTGACCCTGTACGCTGTGTGCTCAGCCGGCGGAGGCGAGGGAAGTCGCATTGGTGGTCGAGGATGGGGTTTGGGTTCACGGTGGCCCCGTTGTGCCCTTGCCCTGCTGAGCAGCCTCGGGTGATGCTTGGGGCTGGTTCCTCTGGGCAAGGGAGATGAGAAGGCCTTTGCAGAGGGTGCCCTGCCAGCTGTGCTCACCCTTCGCCCGTGCAAAAGGAGCTGCTGGGAGTGGGAAAGCCATCAGGTCGCGGCACCTGCGGGGCTGGGGACTGACGTCTCGGGCCAGGAGCAAAGGGAGAAGCAGGGAAAGGCCACCCCGCAGGGTGACTGCTGCAGGGAACAGGAAAACAGAAGCAAGGGGCCATCATGCAGCTGTGAGAGCTGCCGGGACCCGGTCCCTGCACCGGTGCTTTCCCTGCTCCAGCAAACGGGGTGCAGGGTTCGGCACAGCCCGGTGGCTGTGGCTGCAGCCAGCCTGTCCCGGGAGCAGCACGGTGGCGAGGGCTGGGTTGGTGCCGGGTGGGCACTGACTCACTTTCCTGGGGTTTTCCAGGGCTGAGGGCAGCCTTTGGCCCGGCTCAATGATCCTGGTGACTTCTCCTGGCCCGGGGGAAGGAACCTTCTTGTCCCTGTGCCACTGGGGACAGAGAATGGGAGAGGTGGCACAGAGGCAGAGATAGTCCTTGTCTAATTCTTTTCTTTGCTCTCCCATTGCCACTGGCTTTTCTTGGGTGACCCTGCAAGTCCCTGCGACTCCAAACCTGGTGCCAAGCAGAGGTGACGACGTGCACCCAGCCCTGCCCTCCGCAGACGGGCATCGGCGCGGTGGCAGGCGATGCCATTTCACGTCCAACCCCTAATTAACAGAAAGGGTCTCTAGCTCCCGGGAAAAGGGTGCGACGTGGACCCTGGAGGGACGCAAGATCCTTGAAGGTGAGGCAGAAAGCGGTGGCCCAGGCTGCGCATGTCTTGCAGAACAGGATGGGCTCTGCCCGCTCTCCTTGCTGGTGAATAAAGGCAATTCTCAGCCAGCACAAACAGGCTGACAGATGTACCCCATCATGTTTCGTACAATATTACCCTGTCGTTGGAATAGTATTGCAGCTGGTTCTTCATTAGGTGCTCCTCCACCTTCCCACATGGCTGCAGCCTGCTTCCCCAGGTGCTGAAGACAGGTTCTGGGCGACTTTGACCCCGCTCGCTAACGGCTTCGAGGCTGCGGGACAGAGACGCCGGTACCAGTCTGCACCCGGCAAAGCCGTGATGTCTCCCCCATCAGAGGTCCTGGTGTAAGGTACCGGCCCCAGTAAAACCAGGGAGGATTCCAGCATGGTGCAGTGCTCAGCACCCGATGCAGAGCTGCACTGGCTAAATCATCAGTGGTTGTTAATTTATTTTACCTTGTGAATTTTGGCTTTTTTTTTTTTTTTTCCCCCCGGTAAGTAAAGTTTTGCCCCTCTGGCCAGGATCTCTTGCAAGGTTACCTGTGTGCCTGTGTTAAAATTGCGATTATGCATCTGAAAGTTGGCAGACGGAGCCACAGCACCGCCACGGCCTCCTGGTTCCGGATGGACGGGTCAGTGGCAGGATTGGACCTTCCCGCTCCCTTGGGCGATCACCTCATCCTCCAAACGCGCTGGATATGCCCCCCACCACCTGGTGAGTGATCCCTGGTGATTTGGGGTGGTTGAAGGGATCGCGGTGCTCCCCGGCACCGTTTGGGTCCTCCTGGCTGCTGGAGCAGGGCAGCAGAGCCCGGCTTGTCGCTTGTTTTTAGGCATTAACATCTACGATCGCAGAGTCCCCGGGGAGCTCAGAGTGGAAAATATTGTGTTCCTCATCCCAGCCCACCCCTTGCTTAATGAGCGCATTAACAAGCAGCCCCCGTTTATTTATATCAATTTCAAAATCTCCGAAGACGCTCCTATATATAAGCAGGGCATCATATCCCATCCCTGTAATGGGTCATTAATGTATTTTAAGCGAAAGAGACAAGTTCGTGTTGGCAGAGAGGAGGATCAAAAATGCTTTTATAGCAAAATGACCAAGAATGCCTTTTTGGTTGCCTCTAAATTCCCAGTGAATAAATGAATAATAGAAAAATAAATGAATAATAGATATATCAGTGGATTAGATATTGTAATGCAAGGATAATAAGTCACCCTGTACCCCTGCCAGAATATTTGTTTAACAGGACAAACTGGGAAAGTCAATACAGAAGGTGTGTGGGGACATGATAAAACTCTCCCGGTCGCGTCACTGTAGGAGACAAACTCCAGGTTCTGCTTCGGGCGGGTGGTTTCTTGGGGTCCCGTGTCCAAACTGTGTCCTAGGAGGATGGCAGCCTCCGCTCGGATGCGTTCCCCTGCCTCAGGACCAGCCGGACATGCCGTGAGTGCTGCCGTTACGCTGCTGCCGTTACGCTTTGCTCCGGGGAAGCGGCGCTGCCGGCCGGTGCTGTGGGGTGCAGCCAGCGCGGGTGCAGCGGCCAGCCGGCGTGCCAGCCACCGGCCTTGGGGCTCTGGCCACGTCCAGGGGTGCCCCAGCCGGCGCATCCCATCGCCGAGCTGCTCTGGAGCGATGTGCACTAGAGGGAGACAAAGCCCCACGCTCCGCTGGTGGGACCTGGGTGCACGGTGGGACTGGGTGCCCCATGGGATGGGGACCCCAGTCCTGCCACCGCGGACACGTGGTGAGCGCTGCCGGGGCTTTTCCCAGCACAGGGTCCAGCTGGATGCACCGAGGATGCTCCCGTACGGGGCCGGGAGCTCCTCGAGGGCTCAGGTCTGGATTTGTGGGTGAGCTGAGCCTGGCCCCTTCACACCCTCGGGGACGGCGGATGGGGTGGCACCCACTGCTGCAGTCCTTCGGTAGGACGCGCGATGGCACGCAGCTTTCCCGCGTGGTGCTGGTGCCCGGCCTGCGGTGCTGGTGCCCGGGCTGCGCTCCCCGTGCCACCCCACGCGGCCTTGGCTGCTGCACCGGCGATCGATGCCCCCAACCGCGGCGGCACCCTGCGGGGCCCCAGGTCGATAGGCATTAGGGGCTGGGAGACGGGGCCGTTTGTGGCTTCGCCGTCGGAGCCGCCGGCCACGGCCGGCAGCAGCTTAAGGCTCTGAAGCCACATGGGAAGCGCGGTCGGGGCTCCCGCAGCCGCCAGCACCGTCCTTTCCCTCCCAGGGCACGGATCCCTGCCTGCCCATCCTGCCTGCCTGTGCTGCCCGCACACCAGTGGGGTTTTCCTGGGGTCTAAAGGGCTGAAAACCTGCAGGATTGGGTTTCTGCTTGGCCCATGAGAGAGGCGATCCCTTGGCAGAAGGCTGTCCCTGAGTGATGGTTTATGACTGCTCCGCCAAGGGGACGCTCTTTTTCCAGAGTATGTTTTATTCCAAATAAATATAATAGGTACGGGTGAGAACAAAAATACTGCTTTTTTTACTGTAATCCATCTCCACCCACCACCTCCCTCCGGCGCAGCGAGGCCGCCCTCCTACCCGGCGCTTGGTTTGCTTGTGTGTAGATTGTAGATTGCATGATTAAATGCAATATTTTATTTATTTATTTATTCTTTATGCCTCTCCCCCCCAAAAAAAAAGCCCCTAATCTAGAAGTTACTCAAGGAGGCGGCATTTCCCACCGCAGTGCTCCCGGCCCCCCCAAACTCGGGTATAAATTCAGAGCTTCAGTGAATAACATCGGACGTCGCTTTCTTTGACTTCAAGGGGGGCGATGCTGATTCCTCCCAGTGGAGACCTTGGCTGATGGCTGGATCCTTTAACGAGATCTTTTACATCTTCCTGCTGACAAGTTCACCGGGGTGGGATTTGTCAGCAGCCCATTTCACGGCATCTCCGAGGCGCGAATCGTGTCTGCGGGGACGTCCGCTGCAAGAAACCACGGGCAGGGGCCGGGCTGTGCACGTGTTTCGGGCTGGAAAGGAGCAGAGCCGGCTCCGAGGAGCCGCTTTCTCTGATCCGCAGGGGGTTTTGCCATCGGGAAAAGGCTTCCGGAGGGACAAGGGACGTCTGCACGGGGAGGGCTGGAGCTGCACCCCGTCTCTGCACCCCATGTCTCTGCTCTGAGCTCTCCATATGAATCTCTTCGGAGTGGAGGGCTGTTCTGCTGGCAGTACCGGATTCGGTCTGAGCCTGTCCCATGCCCGAGTACTCTGTTTCAGTGGGGTTTGTTTGTTTGTTTGTTTGTTTTCTTGCCTTCACCTCTATTTCTGCTCCGTAGAAAACCCACTTTCTCTTCCTCAGGCCGCAGCATTGCCACCCTGCATGCTCAGCCACCCAGGGTGGCCTTATTAAAAAAAAAAATCACCAAGAAAAATAAGTAAAATAAGCAGAGGCTGTTCTCCTTAGCACGGCTGAGCCTTTTCCCTTCCCTTTTTCCACTCTTTGCCCGTGACCGCAAGGCCAGAAACTGCCTCTCATTTCTGAACTGCTGTTAAGATGCTCAGGTGATGCTCTGCTATGGGGCCACGGCAGCTTTTGCGTCACCGCCCCGGTGCATCTCAGCAAAATCCCGCTCCACCGTCTGCAGGACCGGGTTGCAGCGGTTCACCTTGGCACGATGCAAACCGAACACTGCCGGCGGTGCTTCGCTCCTGCAAATAATAATTAGAGCAACGAGCGCATCCTCCGTGCCGCGGCATCCAGGCGGGAGAGGTGGAAATGGCCCTCGGTAAGTTTTTTGGGGAGGGTTTTGAAGCGGCAGCTGACAGCAGGGTTCGGTCCAGGTGTTAGACGCTGTCGCTGCGTTTCAGCTGAGAATATCCTCTGCGGTTTGTTTGAGGGCTGAGGGATGCAAACGAGCTCTTGCTTTAGTTTATTTATTTGTTTAGAGCCACGGTCTGTCTTTTTCTGGCATCTAATTTGGACGCGTCCAAGCAGCCTCATTTGTTTAGACGGCCCATCTGTACCAGGGCTTGAAAAAACACTTTTTCTGGGACGTTTTTCCTAGTCACTGAGATCACCCAGTGAAGCCATCAGCTCCTGCGGGCTCGGCGCCAGGCAAGTGCCAGCCAGGGAGGGCACAGGCTGTGGCGGCTCCTCCAGCACCGGTACGCCGGGACCTGGTGTCAGCTGTGAGTTTTTAGGATGCTTAGAAAAGCCACATGAAAGCCCAGAGTCCCTGCGGCACACGCAGGCGGTCCCCCCCAGCGCCTATCTGGGGCAGTGGGGATAGGAACATCGTTAAGACACCTTGCTAGTCACAGCCAAGGTCCTCAAAGCAGCCTCTGTCGACCACCTTGTGTCCCTCTAGCCGTGTCCTATGGGACCGCCAAGCCGTGACGTCTGCAGGTGCCATCCTGAGGCCTTTCCCATCGTTGACGTGCTGGTGGTAACATCAGGGAGGGGTTTTCTAGCCAACTCGAGTAAGTCATGGTGATGCTCAACTCGGCCTCTCTGTAGGAGAGAGCGCCTTCGCTGCGGGACCTCGGAAGCATCACCTTGCATTTCAAGGGAAAAATCCCCGCGTTGAGTCAGGGGAGAGGGGAGAAGGCTTCGGTTTTCTGTTTTCTTAATAGTTTGTTTGTACACTTGATGAAAATGGCTGTGTCATTAGTAACCACAGGTTCTCCACTGTTGACATCTCCATTAATGAAGAAATCATTTCTATTTGCAGGTCAAGAGCTGTGGTTTGCAACCAGTTACGCTAATGAAGACTGTGGCATGCCCAGCCTCAGCTGGCTCCACGCCAGCACCCGTGGAGAATTTGACCCACGCCACTGAGTGCTTTCCCCAATTAAATGGTGCGGCAGCGGGACCGGCGCTTCCCCGTTACCTCCCGGCAGGAAGGCTGTAGGTTGCAGATGGGTTTCTCACGGCACCCGAGACCCCCGATGCGTCCTGAGCCACGTGGGCTGGTTTCGTGGCCGGTGGCTGGCAGGGAGCAGCCGTCCCCATCCTGGCCTCGGTCCTCAGCATGCCGTCAAAGGAAGGAGCTCCCGGGTAGGGTGAACCAAGGAAATAGTGAAGTGATGCTGCAAAATCAGCTTTTGAAGGGCTTCCCCAGGGTTTGGCAGCTGGGAGGTGGACGGAGAGGAGCGCGGCTGGTGCTGCGCAGCTCCTGGCACCGCGGCAGCTCCACTCATCCCCTGGTGCCAGGGCTCTGCCGCGGCCCTGGCACTATTCTTGCTACCGCCCACGTGGCAGAGTGCTCTGCCTGCAGGGATGCCCGTGCTGGCCGTGGCCCCGCGTGTTCCTCTACAGCTGGGCTCGGTGAGAGGTTTTTAAACCACCCCATCCACCCTGGGCACGCTGGTGGCACGGGGAGACCTCCATCCATCCATCCAAGCATCCTCCAGGTAGCAATGGACGTCAGACTCGTCCCAGAGGTTTTAAAACTTCATTTCAGTCCAGTGCAGAGGACCTCTGCACCTCTCATCTCATTTGCATTTTAAAACTTCATTTCAGTCCGCTGAGGACCTCTGCACCTCTCATCTCATTTGCTGCTCCGGGCATGCTTGGAGGTGAAGCGGAGCAAGCTGGGACAGGTCTGCCTCCGCGGGGTCTGGCAGGTCCTGCCCTCGCAGGCAGCCACGGTGTGATGTTCCCCCAAACGGCTGGGTACCCACACGGGACGGAAACCAAGCCCTGGGGTTCGGGATCTTAATATTTAAGATTAAACACCAGTCGCCCATTAAACGCCAGCCGTGGCATGTCCTGTGGGGAGATGCGTGGGGAGGGGTACGGCCGGGGAAGTGGCAGCTCCTTACGTCCTCCGTGAGTGATGTCCCCTCTGAGCCAACAGTCCCCGGGCAGCACCCCGATGCCAAGACCCGCCAGAGCCCAACTCCTCCGACCCCCTCGGCCCCCCCCCAAGCGCTGCATTTCCTCGGGCAGAAGCGGAGCGAAGCCTCGACCACGCCGATGCGTTTCTTCTCCCGGTGAGTGATTTGGGGCAGATCACTGGCCCCTGATGGGAAAGTTTCTTCTCACGGTGGGTCAGCGCTGGGGGGGATGTCCGGGAGAAATCTGGGGGGACGCAACAGCTTTCTGTCTTATATCAGAGAATATAATTACGCACTTTCCACCCCGTTTCTTAACACAAAGGAGGAATGTGCAGTTATGTGATCACAGTTTGCTGCAGTGAATTATTTAGTCAATCTGTCCCGGCGCATGTTGTTGAGGCTAATGTTGCTTGTACTAATGTAGGAAATCATTAAAGATCAATAAAGAAATCATTAGCAGTGTGACGCCCTTACCGAACCGCCTGAGCTACAGATATACCACTTAATCCGGCCATAAAAACGGCACCATGAGCTCATTTTAATGGGTGTCAGCAAGATTGATTGGCTGGGGGCAAAGGTTATAACAGCAATTTGGGAGCAGGACCGCTAATGCACTTGTAACTCTTTGGTACACTTTAATGCAAGTTAAACAGAAAATGCCCTAGAAACCGCATAGAGTCCTCTTGTGCAGACGGTTTAAAAGACTTTCACTGTAATGCAAGATTTAGGAATAGAAATAGCACAATAGAGCAGATGGATTTTACTTAGTTAAAGCAAAACAAGGCATAACGCCGCGCAATAGAGACGACTCCGAGCAGCCT